TCGACCTGCGACGCCCCGTACGACGATAAAAATCCACGTAGCCAGCAGTGGGTTTCGATCGCACCACGTTGGAATCACTAGAGAGACTCGCCACGCTGAAGCCACGGACGCCGCTAATAGTAAACGTAGAAACAAATACTTTTGAAGACAATTTCTACACATGGTCAGAAGGGCTCTCTCAGCCCCCCCCCCCCCCCCCGCCCCATTGTTGTCGGGAGAGTCGTTCAAGGGGCCGAAAAGCCTCTGCCCCATCATCTTTGTATAGAAAATCAATAAGGCGGGGAAGTGGTGGAATTTAGTACTGCTCCCTCTCAAAGCCCCCCCCCCCCCCACTCCCCGGATAGCTTCTTTTTTGCTTCAACAGTTATACCTGGGAACCTCTCCCGCCGCCGCAACACCCGATGGCTTCTTTGTGTCTGCGCGGCTGCTTCCACAGTGATAAATGGGCAGCTTCCCCCGCTTCCCCCCCCCCTCCTTTCCCCATTGGCTACACCGGCTAGGTGTAACATGCAGTCCCTTGTGGCTAAGGACGTTCATATGGTTTTCCAGTTGCTTGCCTCCAAGTGGTTACCTGAAGGTTTTACCCTTCTAAGACTGATTACCAAATCTCTGGATGGCTAGCCAAAAGTACAACTTCCATACAACTCGTCAGCCACCACAACACTTATAATTTGGTATGTTCGTATACAGTTCACACACACACACACACACACACCCCCACCCACCCACGCACGCACGCACGCACACACACCCACACACACCCACACACATCCACACACACACACACACACACAAACACAGAGTATCCGATGACGTGTTTTTTTTTATATCAGTTGACGGAAAGCTGGTACACCTGAAAAACTGTCGATGACCTGGATGCAAAATATTGTCAAATTCATTGGCTGAAGTATTCCTGTGTGCAGTTTCAATAGTTTCACTCAATAAATGACAAAGACTTTGGATGCTAAAATTAAGACAACTTTCTGTTCTTCTCCATAGCTGTTTATTTTTTCTTTGTACTGCAGTCCGCATTAATGACACCTGTATGTGTGCATCCTGCATCTACAAGTTACAGAAGCTCCGCTCTGGACAGCTGATCGCAGCCCCGAACGCTACACAGAAACCCGAAGTCGGGGTTAAATCAAACAGACAATGTATCGATCGGCACTCCTAAAAGGAAGTAGAAAGATAAAAGGACACACTAAACAACATAAAAATCGAATGCTTCAGTTACAGTGCCGGGAATCGAACCTGTCACCTCCAAATGGCGTGTGCGCCTTGCTATTAAAACAGGTGCACCAACAGCATAGTCAACTAGGCACCCCCCCCCCTTTCCCCGCCCCTCCCCTCCTCCCGAGGTGTCTTCACTTATGTGGTCGGGATTAGGCGAGACAAATATTCTATTTTGTAATAAGGGGTATTTTGTAAACGTTTCTCCCCTCCACAATTCCATTTTGTAAGGTTAGCAACTCAAGGATGAGAATCTTACAGGCACTAATCCAGAAAACCCAGCTTAACCGTTCAGCCAGACAGAACAGTTATATTGAGACAGAAGAATGCAGTTCTGAGTGAGTGGGTTATCGATTGGTTCATGTGTTACGATCGATCGCTAAATTTGTCCACTACTGAAAGTTTACGCTTACCATCTAAAAATTACAAAACCCCAGTCTGGACGGCAGACCAACAAGGTAGCCAGATACCCCATTCAACCTCCAAGAAATTATAATTCGGCAGCCACATTCTTTCTCTCATAATTTCGATCACTTCGTTAAAGACAATCTTCTTCTTCTTCCCGTTCACCGGCTGTAAACTCCAGCGGAAAGTCCTGGCTGTTCGTCTACTTCTGGAATAGTCCTGTTCTAGAAATTGGGTGTTGTATGCACATCCGTTTCACATGTCTGACTCATTTGCATCCAGACTGTTCGTTCCTTGCCTCTCAGGCAGATGTACTCCGACTTCGAAGGAAGCTCCCAATTAGTCGACTCTTACAATATGCTTTTGGGTAGGCAGTGCGCCTATTCTTGTTTTCCCCAAAATGGGGCTCTGGGACCAACACAGGGAAATTTAAAGGCAATGTAATCAGCTTTCCACAATGTCCTCTGTGTTATACTCCTTCTCCGACAAACCTTAGTTCTGCTCAACACCATTCTTTCTAGAATCTTCTTGCGGTCCTTGCCCCCTTTAATCTAAACAGTGACAACCTGGAAAGCTTCTAAGGTTTGAACAATGGATCAACATCATGGCACACGATTAGTAACCCATAAGTGCTCCGTTTTTCTTCTAACTCAAGTCTGAATCCGAAGAAGCTCAACACAGGGCACAGGCTCTGTAGCACTGGCAAGGATCCTGAAATTTTCTGGATAGATTTTCAACTGTAAATTTTGTCCTGGCAGCGCCGTTAGGTTACTCTTCTATATTTCCAATTGCTAAGGAATTTTTTACGTGCGCAACAATGCACACGGGCGTCCAGTCTCACTGCCTAGAGACTAGGGGAATTACTAGAAGTCCAAACCCATGTGAGAAAATCCCAGCCCTTACCGGGGATTAAACCCGTAACCTCTAGTACTCAAGGCGGACACCATGCCACGAGACCACGACAGCCACCGCCAACGAGAGCAAAAATATAAAAACATCGAAGATTCGATACTAACGAATAGTCAAGCTTTCGGCGCTTCTCCTGCAGTACTTTTTACTTGCTCAAAGACGCCTTCGGCGCCTGAGCTACTTACAACAACAACAACAACAACAACAACAACACATTCCTGAAACGACAGTCGATGGAAAAGAAAGTTGCGGAAAAATAAAGCTATGCAGTTTCGTCTGGAAGACGGTTTGTCGACTTTATCGAACAAAGCCGAGTCATTTTCCGGCACTCTTTGTATAGAGAACTAATGAAAAAATTTCATAGCATCCTTACAACATAGGACAGCCCGTGGGATCTGCTACGAAATCATGAACCGAACGAGATGGGGTGACAAACATGACTTGTACCTACCAGAGAAAATTCCCTGCATCAAGGCGGCAACGCTATACTATTTTTATGACAGTTACAGCTGAAAATTTAGATTCACTCAATTTGTGAAGAAAAGTCGCAAAAGAACACGTATAGTAAATACCCAGAAGACTGATTCAGCCGTATAGGAGAGTTACAGTATATTATGAAGTAGTTCATTGTGGATGGATTGTGACTGAGACAATGCTGGGTGAAGCTGGACATCACAAGCGCAATAGACTAGACGCATAAAACAGTGACGCAAAGTGTCACTATTTGGATGAGAAATCCCCTTCAACCGAACAGTTTTATTTGCTAAGAACCCTGACGATTACAATGGAACCTAAGTGTAGACAAGCTAGGTTTCATAGTTAATATTGTGTTGAGTGACTGAGTGACGTTCAACCCCAACGAGACCACACAGCGATCGACAAACACCTTGTAACTCAAAGTGCCACTATTGAGATAAGAATGGCCTCGGCGAAAGTCGCAGACAATCTGTTCAACCCATAGCGAATTCTAAAGGCGTTTAATTAGAGGCGGTAAATTGTTCTCACATGACATTAGAATGCTAGGGGGCTGGGTGGTCTCGAGTCATGGTGTCCGCCTGGAGTGCTAGAGGTTCCGGGTACAATGCCCAGTAAGGGCTGGGGTGCTAGAGGTTCTGGGTACAATGCCCAGTAAGGGCTGGGGTGCTAGAGATTCCGGGTACAATGCCCAGTAAGGGCTGGGGTGCTAGAGGTTCTGGGTACAATGCCCAGTAAAGGCTGGGGTGCTAGAGGTTCCGGGTACAATGCCCAGTAAGGGACGGAGTGCTAGAGGTTCTGGGTTCAATGCCCAGTAAGGGCTGGGTATTTTTCACGTGGACTTGGACGTCTAGTAATTCCCCCTCTAGGTAGTGAGATCGGACGCCCGAGTGCATTGCTGCGCACATAAACACATCCATTGGAAGATGGTAATCGAAAAGTGTTGCCTAACGGCGCTGCCCATGCACAATTTGGAGTTAAAAATTTACCCAAAGTATTTTAGGATCCTTGACCGTGCTGCAAAGCTCATGCGCTGTGCTAAGCTTCTTTTAACTTAACATCAGTTAGTAGTAGTAGTCGTAGTAGATTTTACCACACTAGGACATCGCACAAGCGATAAACACCCGATGACACAAAGTGCCAAAATGTGGATGAGAATCACCGTAGAGAGGTCCCAGAAACCGCGTTCAGCCATTAAACCATATTTTTGGTCGGATTATACTGCGGCCCCTGGCAAGAGCCAGGGTGGGGCTTCAACATAGAGACAAATTGCGTCTCACAAGAAGATGACGGGAAGTTAGCCTTGTGATAGTAGATAACACGTAGCACTTATCGGTTACACCCGTGTGCCATGATGTTGATCCGTTGTTCAAAACCTCAAAAAACATTAGAATGCTCACAAGTTGGTTAATTTAGGCGCATGCTCCTTAGGGCGCTGCCAGTTCCGTTCCATGAACTCGTTGCTATGATTTGTTTTTTCTTTCTATTAAACAATGCATAAATGAATGCACACACCCCTGAAAAAGAATGATTGCTACGGTGATTGCCCCCCCCCCCCCCCCCACCCTCTTTGTCATCTTACATAAGTGGTCTCCCCGGAGATAATATTTCCTACAGCCATTCATCAACAACAAGCCTTATCTGTCAGGACTATATTCGCGAACAAATCCCTTACAGATTCCACGGAAGGCCCCATCTCTGGACGGGACAAAATATTAATGAATCGGCAAATACCGAAACTAGATACCAGCAGAACGATAGCCGTGTCATGGATCAAATTGTCTAGCAATATGTCATGATCCTGGATGTAATAACGCATGGTAGAGCTGAATCGCTGGGACAACACACCGAGAGAGTTGGTTAAGTGTAGACTTATCTTAGGACGACGAGTTGAGGGAGCAGTAAACAGAGTGCTAGCTGAGTTGTACGATGCTGTCTGGAGAAAATCAGGTTGCTAGGCACAATTCGAAAGACTGTTTTTCATGAGTGGCTGCATGAAAAATTGGGCTTCCTCAAACTGACTTAAACCATATTATCGTAGTGAATAATGCCCTGGTTTATTAGCTCGATTGGTTCAGTGGTTCAGTTAATAGTAACGGTAGAGTTCGTTTACAATTGTCTGGGATGTTTGCAACAGTTAGAACAAGAAAGTACAAAAGCAACAGGTTGCTTAGCAGAAGGCAGATGGTGGTTGATGTACTTCACCCTGGCAGGGCTACTCTTCCTAAGACTAAAATCAGGGAAAAACTCGCCGTTGTACAGTCACCGCTAATGTTGTCTTTTGCTTTGGGTTCAGGACACATTTTAGAGGCGGTAAAACTACTGGATTCGCTTTAATTTATGACAGCTTGGACAAGGCTAAAGCGTTTGAGCCTATATACAGACTAGCTAGACATGGAATGCTAGAAATCAAGAGAACAGGAAGCAAAGAAGGAAAGAAGAAAACAGACAGATGAACGTTAAAGGAACCACAAAGACCAAAGTCGGTTCTGGAAGGAAAAGAAGTAATCAGCGGCTGTTTTACATTATGGTGTATAATTTTTTAGGAAAAAAACTCTGTTTTATGTGGGAGCAGTCGTGGTCTAGCGAATCAGAAGATCGTGGGTTCGAGTCCTGACGGTGACGGGCTGGTTATTCTTCCAAAAATGACCTTGGCTCCCAGGTCGACCCAGCCTTAAATGGTCCTGGCAAGTAAAGGCGGTCAGCGTGACGTTGACCCCATCACCCACCAAGTGCCGTTCGGTTCATAAAATATAGGTCTAGTCTTATAGGCACAATAGGCGCGACAGCGTCAAACAGAACCCTTTACTTTTATATTGTATGTATTCATGACTTTTCATATATTCCCGTCTTTTTATGTATTTGTTTATTTTCATGTATTTATGTTATTTTTATTTATACTGATATCTTCCTTGTGTATTCTTGCCTAATTTTTATTTTGTTATTAAATCATGTATTCTTTGTACATTAGTGGGCATTTACTTATTTCTTTTTTTTTTTATTCCTGTCTTTTTTACTTGTTACTTGTAATCTTTCAGTATTTCTGTTTTATGTATTGATTCCTGTCGTCTTTATATATATTCTTGTCTGTCTTCTTAATAAATCCCTGCTATTTGTTTTTTGTCTTCTATATACATTTTCATTTCTCTTGTATGTAATCCTACATTTGTATATGCCCATCTTCTATTTATAATCCTCCCTTATTTATTTTTTCATGACTTCTTTATGTATTCCTGTCTTCTATTTCTGTAACAAAGCCTCCATTGTTGTCTGTAATGCTGCAGGCAAGCCTCCCGGTCGAGACTGGAAGTTAAGAGGCCATCTCCTTGTGTAGAAAGCGGTGATTGAATGGGAAATAGTCGCTGAGACCACGACCAGTTCCGCTAACGGATCATTGTAGATAATCGATTGGTAATACAAAACGTGGTAATGGCCGGGCAGACTTCGGCTGATTGCTGTAACCCTGATTTCCACCGACACTCAATAACCTCCCCTGGCGGATCAAAATGCTGGTGGTAGGTTGGAAGGAGGAAGAGAAAAGAGGATGAGGAGGAGGGAAGGATGGTTAAGGATAGAAGAGGTGGAGAGGGTATGGTGGAGGATTAGGATGAAGAATGAGGGTATAATGGTGGAAGAGGGGAGGCTGATGGACGAGGGAAGGATGGTGCGTGAGAAAAAGATAGTGGATGAGAGCAGGGTGGTGAATGAAGGTAGGATCGTCGAAGGTGAAAAAGGAGGAAAGGATAGGATGCAGGAGGGCGAGACGGAGGAGGCGATAAGGATGGAAGTAGAGAGTTAGGTATAGAATAAAGACAGAATGGAGGATCGGGTGGGTGAGGGTAGAAAGGGGATAGAGAGAAGAATGGAGGAGAAACAGTAGATCAAGTTGGTGGAGAAAGTCTGCATCGAGGATGAGGAAGAAGAAAAGAAGGGCAGGATGGAGGACAATAAGGAGGAGTGCAGGATGGATGGAGGACAGGGTAGAGGACGAGGAAAAGGAATAAAAGCATCTGGGCTGATGGGATATGTGCTGAAACAACTGCAAATTTGTAATCGGTTTAGGAAAATAACAGAAGTTCTATAGCACAGTGGTTAGTTCTGTAGCGTAATCAGACTAAGGTCCTGGAAAATAACAGAAGTTCTATAGCACTGTTGTTATTTATGTAGCGTAATCAGACTAAGGTCCTGGAAAATAACAGAAGTTCTATAGCACTGTTGTTATTTATGTAGCGTAATCAGACTGAGGTCCTGGAAAATAACAGAAGTTCTATAGCACTGTTGTTATTTATGTAGCGTAATCAGACTGGTCCTGGAAAATAACAGAAGTTCTATAGCACTGTTGTTATTTATGTAGCGTAATCAGACTGAGGTCCTGGTTAAATTCCTTTTCTGCGGCAAGGCTAGATTTTGACCCAAAACGTATATGGGATCGATTAAGTATAGTAAAAAAAAAAGCATTGTCCAGAGAAACTGAGGAAGGACGAAAGTTGGTGAGACAGGGAACTGGTCTAGCCGTTCATTAGTATGTAGTAATTGAATATACGTGATGTGGTAACACTGTTGTGGCTGTATCTGCCATCGGGTAGCTGATACAATTTTTAACATGAAGGCTGCCTCGTTCCTCCTGCACTGAGCAGTAGTCTGTTCACACGAGAATGCCCAAGAACTAGCGGATGAAATCTTATCATCATCATCATTATCATCATCATTATCATCATCATCATCATCATTACTATAGTCATCATCATTATAATTACTACTACCAACAACAACTATTGTTGATAAGTGTCGCTATCAGGGAATTGACATCTCTCAGGTCAGATTCGGGTCTTCCCGTGTGGGTTCATGGATCCCATGTAGGGGGGGGGGGGGAGAATAGACCGAATGTCTTCCTATTACTTATGTCATAACAGGCGACTTCAAACAAAACTGCTGGAGATAAATCCCAAAAGTGAACCACCTGTAATAATAGATGATGTAGGTTTAAAAACACTAACTGATGTAGGTTTAAAAACACTAACTGATGTAGGTTTAAAAACACTAACTGATGTAGGTTTAAAAACACTAACTGATGTAGGTTTAAAAACACTAACTGATGTAGGTTTAAAAACATTAACTGATGTAGGTTTAAAAACACTAACTGATGTAGGTTTAAAAACACTAACTGATGTAGGTTTAAAAACACTAACTGATGTAGGTTTAAAAACACTAACTGATGTAGGTTTAAAAACACCAACTGATGTAGGTTTAAAAACACTAACTGATGTAGGTTTAAAAACACTAACTGATGTAGGTTTAAAAACACCAACTGATGTAGGTTTAAAAACACTAACTGATGTAGGTTTAAAAACACTAACTGATGTAGGTTTAAAAACACTAACTGATGTAGGTTTAAAAACACTAACTGATGTAGGTTTAAAAACACTAACTGATGTAGGTTTAAAAACACCAACTGATGTAGGTTTAAAAACACCAACTTATGTAGGTTTAAAAACACTAACTGATGTAGGTTTAAAAACACTTACTGATGTAGGTTTAAAAACACTAACTGACTTTCACTTACATAAGAATCAATACCTCATCGGATGGAAATGTAGTGGTTGAAATCAAGCAGATAACTGCAAAGGCAGATGCTGCTTACAACAGATTTCAGAGTGTCTGGAGTTCAAACATCTACAGCACTGAAACTCAACTCAGGATATACAAATTACCAGTTAGGACAGTTCTCCTCTATGCAGCAGGAACTGGGAAAACAGACAAAAATATTGATAGCATGCTCAGAAGTTCTGAGGGAAAACATCTCAGAAGATTGTTGAGGTTCACATGGGAAGATAAAATCAGCATTCTAGATTACAACAAATGACAGACTTAGAAGGTGTAAATTTAGAAATTTAAAAAAAACGAAGATGGAGGTGGATTGGACACGTCCTCAGAATAAGGAAAGATAGAGACAGCCGAGATAGGCAATGAAATGGACACCACAAGGACACTGAGAAAGAGGCAGGCCCAGAAGTACTTGGAGGTAGTTTGTCTCTGCCTTATGTGCCTCAGGGCGCGACGAGGATTGATTGATCAAACAAGCGACTAATAAGGAATTGTTTGTTTTCCTCTGAGGTCGGAGCGCATTTCTCTGAGAGGCAAGGAACTAGCAGTCTGCATACAAATAAACCAGATCCGTAAAGCAGATGTACACACAAAACTTAACATTTTGAAACAAGGCTAAAATCCAGAAGTGGATCTTCTTCTTTTTCTTTTTCGCGTTCACCAGCTGTAAACTCTGGCTGAAAGTTATGGTTCATCCACTTTTGGACTGCAGCCCTGTTCCAGAACCTGAGTGTTGCATCCGTTTTACAGATCTGACTCATTTGTATGCAGACTTCTAGTTCCTTGCCTCTCAGGCAGATGCACTCCGACGTCAAAGCAAGCTGCCAATTAGTTGACTCTTACGACATGCTTTTTGGTAGGCAGTGGATCTCTTCTCTCCCCCCCCCCCCCCCCCATAATAGGGCCCCAGAACCCACACGGGGAGAAGTGGATGAATTACCAGAACTTTTCGCAGGAGTTTACTGCCGATGAAAGCGAAGAAGAAGCAACTGTTTTCCCACTTAAAGAGAATGCCTCGTGACGCCATACCACATAAGGCATACATCAACAGAGAAGAAGGGCGTAGGGCATAAAAAAACTCTACAGCAGCATGAAGTGTCTATGGTCGAGAGCAGAAGCTTACCCCCTCCCGACTCCCGAAGCGGTAACAGAGGATGTGAGGAAAAGAATTTGGTTTATTTGACGGATCGACGTCATGGCACACCGATGTAACATTTAAGTGTTCTGTTCTACTTCTAACTCAAGCTTGAGTCTGAAGAATCTCAGCGCAGTGCACGAACTCCGTTGCGACGGCGAGGATCCTGAAATACTTTAGGTAGAACTTTAACTCAAAATGTTCCCTGGGCAGCGACGTTAGCCTACTCTTCTCGATTTCTAGCTTTCAGGGTTGTTGTTGTTGTTGTTGTTTTTTTTTTTTTAAACGTGCGCAGCAATACACACGGGTGTCCAATTTTAGTGCCCATAGACCAGGATAAATTACTAGAATTCCACGTAAAAAAATCCAAGTCTTCACCGGGGCTTGAACTTGAGACCTCCAGCACTTGAGGGAGACACCATACCTCGACCACTCAACCCCCTAAAATTTTTAGAATTCCTAATTTCTTAAAATCTTAGATTTTAGAAGATGAGCTTGACTAAGTTATATCTTGTTTTGCGTTGCAATGGGATCTATTATAGATGGTATTAAGTAACAACAAACATTGCAATAAAGAACAAAGTCAAACAAATAGTAAATTTTGGCTAGTTGATATCGCACATGTA